ATAATAATAAATACACTAATTAATAATTATTTATCGTGAAAGAGAAATGAGAGACACGAAAAGAACGTTTTTATATTTTTTTATTATAGTGTAATAATTTGATATTAAATACTTTAAGAGACCTTTTTTAATAGTGGTTAATGTTTAATGTTAATGTGAAAATTCATTTAACTTTTATCCACTACAAATTAATGACGAAAATTTTTTGCTGGTGTCACATTCTCGTCGGGAATTGAACCCGAGACCTTTGGCTTCACGAACCAATTGTCTTGCCATTAAGCTATAAGAGGTAACAGCAATAACAACGACAAAACGTATTTATTAGTCACAGATTCGTCGAAGAAGTCTATATATGTGATTATCATATGAAATACTTTAAAAACTTTTTTTTAATTGGTTAATACTTTGTAGTAGATAAAAATTAAAAGAATTTTCACATTAATATTAATTTATATATTTGTTATGTGGCATGTTGTGCCATTTTAGTTATACCCCCATTGTCCCCCCATAATCCCAAACGTGTGATGTTAGTCTAGAAAACCGCAACAATTCTCCTAAAGTTCAAACCTTTTTGCTCAATGTGATCATGGCGATAATTTATGATATTGTGTTCTCTTGCTTTTGTCTATGACATAAAAGCCCTTAGGTTTGCCATTTCCGGGGAAGTATTTAACAACTAACCCTTTCTTAGGCTTGTACGGTACATAGTAGGAAGGTTTAATAACCTTTTTGGGTTGATCTTTGGCCGGCTTGTCAAGAACCTCATTCCAAAGTTTTATGTCTTGCATGTCCAATATGTTGTCCTCGCCCAACCGCGATTTATTTTTTTGGGACGCCACCTTTTTCAGAAAAGGCAAATTCCAGTGGTAAACCTTGGACGGTTTGCCATTGCTTTTGAATCCCACGGGGATTTTCTTGCTGGGCCCCTCGTCTGTCGGTTTATTATGGACGTAATAGTGGGGAAAAGGCGGAAGTTTAATAACGAACATGTGAGAATCGTCTGACCTGCTGTGGTGTCTCGATTCGACCGCCAATCGTTTTGTGTGGTGACTGTTTGGTCCCCTTATTCTGACCAAACCCAATTTTTCCAAAAGTTCGTGGTTTTTTAGCGTGTGAGTGGATGCCAAAGTTTCGCTTGTGATCAATGCGGAAACCGATAAACAAAACAGTAGTAGTCTGCAATAAAAATAAAAAAAAAAATAATAGGCTAATGTTGTCAGAGTGGTTGCGAAGGGTAGATTTACAAATACTGTACGTTTTCAGGGTTCCGTACGTCCGAATAAAAAACGGAACCCTTGAAGGGTCACTCGTGTTCTGCCTGTCCGTCCGTCACAGTCAATTTTCTCCGAATCTACTGGTCCGAAACATAGGGGTAATTTTTGGGGGTCAATACGAAATTAAAAAGAAAAGTTTTGCAAACTGTACCGTGTGACATATCAAATGAAAGGGCTTGTTGTAAGGGTCTCAAATATATTTTTTTAAATTTTAAAATAAGTAAGAAAATGATGAAAATTGACCATTCCCCCCTTATCTCCGAAACTACTGAACCTAAATTTTTGAAAAAAAATGCAGAAAATAGTCCTTTACTTATAGATTACAAGTAAATTAATAAGAAGTCTAGGGCCTGAACGTAACGTGGTAAATCTTTCAACAAAACAAAAGTTCATTTCTCTTTAATGATTAATATTCATTCTTATAGACTAAAGAACATCTCAAATTCCCTGCAATTTTGTTAAGAATTGTTTCACCTTTGAAAATTTTCCAGCAATATGTCACATGACCCACTAAAATGACAAAAACATTGCGAATAATGACACCCCCCCACGTTTTTAGAAAGACTTGCGTTCGACTGATTTCATGAGGCATAAAAGTAATTTTATAGGATAATTATTATAGTTAACATTTGTAATAAGTGAACAAAAAATAACAAGTGGTCGTGTTGGATGCGGTCAATTCCACCATAACCAGAGGAAAATGGAATTAGAAGTGGTTGCATGACTATATAATTGGAGGTGTTATTCATGTATAAGTTTCAGTAAATTATTGGCGTACTGGTGGGATTCTTAGAGGGCACAAACGTCCACATTCATACACACATCGTGTACGTGCATGTAATACATGACTTCAATTATAGTGTTTTCTGTGCTTTCGTCGTCACCCGGCTCGATTATTATTACACCTAAAGCCATATAGAAAAACAATTTGCTTTTATAGGTCTTGCAATCGTGTACATAAATTATTAATTTAAAGACAACTTCGCTCGAAGAGTTAGTAAATTGAAAACGAAATCGTACTGTAGTAAAATTAGCAAGAGCAGCGTTTAAGCTGTTTCTAATTGGTGCTTATTCATTCTGTAAAGCATTAGACATCTACTTTTACGGCCCGTACATATTTTAATTAAAGAGACGATTTATTCCAATACTCGTAGTGAAAAGTGTACCAAACGATTCGTCACAAAATTCTGAGACTTTTTTTCCTTTTCCGTTTTTCGATACGATCTTTAATAGTCGAGCAATTAACAATTAAAGTTTGCTGCAAGTTTGCCTACGACCGCCAGGCGAATCTGCAGGTAGCAGACGCGCTGCATAGGCGCTTCGCCTGCACGCACTTGCAGCAAGGCTAGTGCGCTATGATTGGTCCATTATTGTTAAACTTCCGTTGCTAATTACTCAATAACTATAAGTCGGATCGAAAAAATTAAAAAGATAAAAATGTCTTAGAATATTGCAAACAATCGATTGGTACCGTTACTTTTTCGAACCACCGTGTATAACATGTGGACTTTGTCGACCTTTCGATTGCACTCTCACACGGAAAATAATGAGAGTCGTATAAAGAAGAACTCGTTTTGAAATCGTATCTGCTACATGATAAAATATGTCGTGAGTTGTTGGGCGCATACACGAGCTAAAATATGTTGAATTTAATGGTCTATGAAAGACAAACTGCCCAAAGTTTCCGTTGTTTTCATCGAGATATTTATAATTGATGTTGTCGGCTGTTTAATTTTTCAAGTTGGCTCGCTGCAACCCATATTTATATGCAGTCTGGTCTGTCCGACAGCGTTTTTGCTCCCTTTTTACCTTTCATGCTTTTAAACTATTAATGCAACAGCCTTACGTCTTTGCGTGGTCAAATTCGTTTCTACGCCAACCGAAGCATGTTACGTACCTACTACAACTTTCGTTAGGTACTGCGTTTGTAACGTGACGTCTCTAATGAAGCTTACGTTACACGAATGCAAAAAAAAAATAAAATTATCTTTTCTAGTGTGCACACATCGATTTACTTTTTCTAATATTACATTGTGGGTCATGTGGGGTATCATTTTGAAGAGGCGCTTATGAGGAATTCAAAAATGAAAAAAGGCTTAAAAAAGGTACCCTGTGTATGCCGTATATGTTAGTTGTAATAATAATGAATTGAATTGTGAATCAAATTTTCTGCGATAAAAAACGGCTTTTGTTTCGTTACGTAAACAATACGATGCAGAATTACAAAGGTCTTTGGCTTTGGTAGTTGCATTTTATTGGCAACACCTGAAGCAGTCGAAGTCGTAAGGTACTGTTGAGTCAATGACTTACACAAACACAGTAAGTCAACTCGAGAAATTCTCGTTTAACAAAATTTTCAACAAAGACCTCGCGAAGCCGGTAAAGCACACGGGTACATATCGAGACGGTGCAGACAATAAAAAAGCACTGTAACCGCTATGAGCCGGGAACATTAATTAAACCCCGCGATCAAATAAATATGGGTACGATAGTTTGGTATTATTAACTGGCAATTGAAACTGTCTCATAGTTTTATAATGTAATAAAATAATTCGAAGTGGTCTGTACTCTGTCGAAACTGCCAGACGCGGATCGCAATTTCGATCTTTTTGGATCTCATCAGCGCGTCGGAGGCAGCTCCGACAAAACATGGACCAACTTTTACCTGCTGTCTTAACAGCGCGTTTTAGAAAATACTACAAATGGCGCGGTAAACGCCATCTGTTGTACGATGCTACATTTTAGGATTACGTATGCTCCAACAAGGTCCATTTAAATATATGGATATCTACTTGCTAAAACGAATCCCGGCGTAGCTAACCTCAACGTGATAGACACATTACCATAATCGAATTCGAATGGACCTTGTTGGAGCATACGTAATCCTAAAATGTACCATCGTACTACAGATGGCGTTTACCGCGCCATTTGTAGTATTTTCTTTTATAATGTAGGTTTGTAAATGCAACCAATTATACACGTCAATCAAAAATGTAATGGTTATCGCTTGTCAATTGATTGTATACAACCAACCGTACACCTGGATATTGGTATTTAGGCCCGCTCACTTTTGTCCAACTAAAAAATGCGTCAAAATTGCTGATTTTTAATTAAAGATTATGAGCTATAAAAAAGTTAGAATAAGTACATAAATGCTTTTGACAGTATAAAACTGTCCTCGTGGGACATAGTTAATGTGTAACAACTACAGACACCTGCTGTCTATAAGATTATGGGTTATTTCTTATGATTTTGCCCATAACGTTCCTTGGGCACGAAAGAAGGATATATATACAATGACGAAGTGTAAAGAAATCACTAATTTAGCTTTTTATAATAGCTTGATGTTATGAAACTAACAGGTGTTTTGATTCGTTTATTACGTTAAAATTGAAATATAATTTTTACATTTTTTGGTTTATTTTGAAGTTAATGGTAAAAACTATCTAGAAAAGTAATAGTAATGCAAGAAATTATCAGTAATTTAACATCTATAAATGCACATATTTCAAAACTGCCGCGTTTTAATAAAAAGTGCCGACAACAGTGCACATGCGCTAAACCCTATTGTCACTATCAAAAATTATATTTTATATGGGTTGCCACCACTGATCTTGTTACTTGTTGCGTGTAGGTGCGTGTTAACGAAGCGTGGTCAAGTGATAAGTTGATTCCTATTTGTATGATAGTGATTCTAAATGATACGACAATGTAACAAAACTAATTGTAACATGTTCGGCTTGCTTTACACGTTGATTACAAGTAGTTTTCGTGATGTGTACGTCGTGGTTTATATGGAAAATGTTTTGGACAAAAAGTGCGTATAGGACTCCATATTGGCGAAATAGGTTTGTAATTTAAGTCTTCTAGATGTCTGAATTCATGTTTATATGCTTGTGTATTAGCAATTTTAAGACTTTTCTTTATGAATACTGTTATTAAGCCTTGTATAATACCTCAAAGATTTTAATGTTTTTTTAGAATATTGTTGGTTATGGTCCAAACATGTACAATAATTTATTGTTTAGGTTGTAAAATTTGAATTTAAACAGGTATATCGAAGTGGATACTGGATACATTGTTAAGCAATTGCATTTTGTCTAAAGCTAAAGCTGTATTGTCTCATTCTGGCATGCTGCATGCTGCTTCTCATTCATTGAAAGTTGAAAGTAATATGCAATAAGCAATAAGCAGTTAACAGATGAAGCATTGTAAGATCTTCATTTCACGCTTGTAACAGCAAACAGCATATCTATCAATACCTGTCATATCTAGGTAATAACATATTAAAAACTTGGAAAAAAGTACAAATTGGTAGCCCGTTAATGTCCCAATACAATAAAACTGTCACCTGTGGGACTCTTGCATGTGAAAATTTCGGAGACAAAACTATAAATTAATTCACCGTTAAATAAAATCTGTCGTTTATATGCTAATCGGTTCTCTACAACACACCCAGTGTGGACATAACGGGAATAAAGCAAAAAATCAGGACTTCTTAAGCATACATGGCCTCAATTTAAATAAATTAGAAAACAAAAATGTTACTTAACGGCAGGTTCTCTTTTGCTTATAGGCAAGCAGCTTTTTACTTAAAATTATGAACAAATATTGAATATGGTTTTATATAAATGTAAACAAATTAACAGGTGGATTCAAGAACTTCACAAAATGCACCTTTATAATGTCTGTCTGTACCTAAATCAAAAAAGAATTGATTTTAAGGAGAAATCTTGAAGTTTTTCAAAATTATTGCTTGTATTTTCAGTAACATGCATTTGAAATTAAACTTAATAGTTGTTTTCGAATAATTTCCAAAAAAACTAAATTGTTCGGTTTTTAAATTGAGTACAGACAGGGTCATCATCATAAGGTCATCAGTCCTATGACTGGTTGGACACG